GGCTACCAAGTGAGTTCCAGGAAAGGCGCAAAGCTACACAGAGAAACCCTGTCTCGAAAAACAAACAAACAAACAAACAAACAAAAAAAAAGACATGAGAGGGAGAGGAGGAGAAGGAGGACTGGAAGAAATGGGAATACAGATGGGTAGACAAACAGAGTCAGGGGGTCACGTACAAAATGAGAGAGCAAGAGAACAAGGGAGACAGAGAGAAAGAAAGAATATAATTGTCAGCATCTACCACACAGAAGGATGCAGGAACACACAGTTACTGGACACTACCCACCATCAGTTCAGTGAGAGGAACTTTGAGAAAGATAGTCTTAGAGCTAACAACAACAAAAACCATTATAAAAAGAATATAAAATAGTGGCGGGGATCACTGGCCTTCTGGCCCCAAGGAGCTGGGGTACACACACCTGGGACCCCATCTCTTCCCAGCTATGTTCTGACCCAGTCTCAGGGATGTGTATCAGAACACTGAGCCAAGGCCATTCCCTGAAGTCACTGAAATCCTTCAGAAGACAGATCCCAGTATTCCAGTCCTTAGCCCCAGCCAGATCTTGACATAGACATATGTATGTACACACACACACATACACACACACACACACACCCACACACACACACACCCCCACACACACACCACAGACACACAATAGACAGACACCAGCCCAGCAAAAAGCAGGCAATTCTGGCTGTAGCTCCAGGCTGCTGTGAAAACACATGCCAGCAACACAGGCACACCCACAGACATGCACTTTATCTATCTGCCAGTTGCTGATATATGTTCCTGCAGGACCCATTGCAGAGAGTCTGGGGAGATGATGAGTAAGTGAGGAAGAAGTAAGAAGGGGGGGGGGAGACAGTGAGTCAGAGTGGGTGATAGAAAGTAATAAAGACAAATGGGGCGAGATGGAGACAGAAATACAGACAGAACACAAGAGAAGCAGCTGAGGGAGACGGGAAAGACAGAAATGGAGGGAAGGTGGAAAGGAATATACAGACGGAACAAATGAAAGGTAAAGTGAACTTAACGCAAGAGAAAAGGGGAGAAAGAGAAAAGAGAGGAAGGGCTGGAAGAAAAGGGGAGTGAAGGACCAGCTCGAGGGGCTGTGAAGGGAGGTCCTATCTGGTGAGGGGGATGATGGCAATGTCGGGAATCGAAGAGGGTGGAGTCATGGGACTGCGTGACCTCAGAGCCCCTGGACGGGCTAGTTCTCTGACGTCAGCTCTCCTCCACCCCCGCATCTGCTGGTCTTCAAATGGCCCCCCTCCAGCTAGCTCCAGACACACACGGATTGCAGAGCAAGCCGGAGAGGAGAGAATCCAGCAGGACCCACAGCCATGAGACATGTATGTACGTGTGTGCGTGTGTATTTTCTGCTGCCATAAAGGGTAATTACTACCATATGTGAGACCATGTGTTTTGGGGACTAGTGAGAAGGAGTTCGTGTACGTGTGTATCTACTTGTGACAGCAACTGTATGTGTTCAGTGAGCTTGTGAGATGGAGTGAGTTTCCTTCTCTATGTTCATTGCTATATGGTTTGTCATCCATACATGCCTATGATTCTATAAATGTGTGTTGGTATTCCCAAAGAAGGCTTTGCATGTAAGTGATATATGCATTTCAGTTTCAATTTTATGGGTTCAGAATCTATTTAGCTGAACGACATGCATTCACCAATATTCAACCTCTCTCGACCTGTAAAAAGGGCAATTTCATATGGCTGGGGTTTATTTGAACCAGCAGTTCTCAACTTGTAGGTCATGACCACTTTTGTCAATTTGTAACAATGAAGATACATCCTGCATATCAGATATTTACATTACTATTCATAACAGTAGCAAACTAAGTTATAAAGTAGCAACTAAAATAATTTTATGTTTGGGAGTCACCACAACATGAGGAACTGAATTAAAGGGTGGCAGCATTAGGAAGGTTGAGAACCACCGATTTTAACTGTTCACTATTTCTTCTGAAACCTTCTACTTCTGTTCCTTTATCCCAGACCCTTGGTGGCTGTTTGTGTGGCTATTGGCATGTTTTTTGTTTTGTTTTGTTTTGTTTTTGTTTTGTTTTGTTTTATCATCTTGATATTGTTTCTTCCTGACACTGAGGGCTTGTGTCCTCAGGTCCCCTGCATGACCATCAGCGGGAGGTCACAGGACGCCCGTGCTCAGCCTGAGACAGGGTATATGAGGTCGTCTTATGGAACATGGGTGTTTTCAGTCTGTGTGGTTCTTAGTGTTGCGAGTACAGCTGTAGGTGGAGGTGTCCATAACTTCCTCATAATCTGAGCCACCCCAGGAGCCCAGGCAGCGCTGTATTTGAGGCAAAAAGACAGTAATGAAGGGGTCTGAAAGAAAGAATAATTGTTACTGAGTACTTAAAAGTTCTTTCTCAAATTTGGTACCATGTACCTGAGGTCCCAGATACTTTGGAGTCTGAAACTGGAGGATGCTTGAGTCTAGGAATTTGAGGCAAGTCTGGGCAACACAGGGAAACCCTGCATATTCTTTTAAAATCCTCCAGATCCCTAACTCACCTCTACTGTTCAGAAATATAACGTGAATTACCATGTTTTTAAATCCTCTTTTGAAAGTAAAGTGGGTCCTACAAGATGGCTCTGGGGGTAAAGGTGCTTGCACTAAGCCCGATAATCTGAGTTTGGTCTCTGAGACCCAAATACTGGGGAGAACGAACCTAGTCCCATAACTGTCCTCCAACCTACACACACACACACACACACACACACACACACACACACACACACACACACACTGGGGCAAATGCTCTGTGACATGCATATGCCCACACACAAAATAAACAAATAATCTTTAAATGAAATTAATGTAATTTTTAAATGAAATTAATTTTGGTAATTTATTTGCTTTGACCCAGTGTGTGAGAAGACTGTAAACTTTTCTACCAGACACCAAACAGTAAACACTTGAGGACTAGAAGACATTGCGTTCTCTGCCGGAACTACTCAGTCTTGGTATGCTACAGCACACTCAGCATAGACAATGGGTAAACGAGCAGTGCAATGTGAAGAACTGCAAGTAACTTTCATGCTCCACAAAATATTTTTGCTTCACTTTCAGCTTAAAACAATTTGCAAATGTGAAAAGATATTAGTCTGCAAGAAAAAGTGAAATCTGTACACTGACCACTACTGTACATTTAAAAATAAGGTTCTTTGGGGCTGGTAACCTGGCTCAAAACGCAAAGGTGCTTGCTGCTAAGCTTGATTACCTGAGTTTGCCGCCCCACAGGGTGGGAGGAGAGAATCAACTCCTAAAAGTTGCCCTGACTGCCACACACACACACACACACACACACACACACACACACGCACGCACGCACGCACGCACGCACGCACGCACATGCACATGCACACACACACCATAGCATGTGTGCATGCACATGCGCACAAGTAAAAAATAACTAATCAAACAAACAAACAAAGATTTTGAAACGTGATTGTTTTAGGGACTTGGGATGTAGCTCAGCTGGTAGAGTGCTTGCTCAGCACGCACAAAGCCTAGGTTCAATCCCTGCACCCAATAAACTGAATGCGGTAGCCTACCTCTGTCATGTTATCACTCAGAAGGCAGAGGAAGAAGGATCAGAAATTCAACGTCATTCTCAGCCATGCAGTGAAGCTAAAACCAGCCCAGGCTTCATGCAACCTTGTCTGGAAAACAAAACGATCATGTCAATGTTACCAATATAAAAATATTGAGATCTTTTGTTTTTTCACCCACCCCTGACCAAATCTATAAGATGGTTTATCTTTCTGTAAAATTTATAGTTAAAAAGAGTCATGCATCACATTTGTTCGAAACATATTTAAAAGTTTTTCTATAATTGAATGGGACTAAATGGAATATTTATTTTAATTTATATATTTAAATTGTGCATTTATAGTTGTGTGCGTGTGCGTGTGTGTGTGAGTGTGCGTGTGCGTGTGTGTGCATTCATATGTATAAAGTGCTGGGAACTGAATCCAGGGCCTCCTGTGTCTTTGGCAAATGTTCCACCACTTATACTCACCACCTTTTTTCTTTCTTCTTTTTTTTAACATTTGTGTGTGTGTGTGTGTGTGTGTGTGTGTGTGCTCGAATGTGCCTTTGTGCTTGCTCAATCAAATGTGGAGGTCAGAGGACAACTTCCCAGTCTGTTCTCTCCTTCCTCCAGGTGAGTTTTGGTAATCAAACTGGGGTCCTCAAGCTTGGTAGCAAGTACCTTTACCTACTAAGCCATCTTGCTGCTGTCTTCATTTCTATTTTGATAGAGGGTTAAACACTACGTTAACCAGGCAGGCCTTGAACTTGAGATCTTCTTTCATCATTCAGCCCCAAAAGTAACTGGTTTATGTCAGTTACTGACAGGCTTATGTCACCAGGCCTTTCATTTTAATGTCTCTGGGTGTAATGCTGTAGGTGCATGCTCAGTTGTGCCTGCTCCTGTGGAGATCAGAGGTTAACACAAATGTCTTCTCCTATCTATTCTTTAGTCTTTGTCTTAAAGATAGGGTTTCCACTGAATACGGAGCTGACAATTTCAGCTATAATGGCTGGCCAGCAAGCCCCAGGCTTGCTGTCTGCCTGTCTGGCGCTGGGATTACAGATGGATACTCAGCTATTTTGTATATGCTGAGCCATCTCCCCAGCTTCTTAATGTTAAATTAAGATTAGAAACTCACACAATGGTCATACTGGCTGCATTTCAGCTATGGACAGTGTTGCCGACCTTATGTTGATGACTTATCCCACAGTCAGCTTGAGAGGGAGGATCCGACAGCTTAAGACAGAGAAAGCATGACAGCCAGCCAGACTGTCTGTGTTTGAACCCTAAGTCCTCTGCTCACTGTCTGAGTGGCCTTTCGTGAGAGAATTCATCTCTTTGGGCCTCGGGGAACAGGACACAGAAATAGCACCCACTGCAGAGGGCTGCTGTAGAAGAATGTCTGGCTGTGGAAGCTGCTACTCACCTATTTCACAGATGAGAAGACTGACACCCTGCCAAGTCACTGGACAGTGGGAAGGGGCACACATCAGGCCTCTGGGAAGTCAGAGGCGCCATGCTGTCTGTCACCTGTGCCTGCTCACCTGTCACAAGCTTCTGACAGCCTGCTTTGTGTCTGTACTATGACTGCAATGCTGCCAGGAGAGGCTCTCCTGAAGGGAAAGCAGTCTGGGAAGACTGTGATAATGACTGGCATCCTGGGTTCAGCTCCCAGCATCTCAGGGACCTGGAAAATGGTGGTGATTAGAGTATTTACAGGGAACTGGAAATATAGCTCAGTGGGCAGCACACGTGCCTAGCCTTGCTCTACCTCCAGCACTGCACGAACTGGGCTGCTCGCCTGTCATCCCAGCACTCCAGACGCTGAGACAGCAGGATCAGAAGTTCAAGTCATCCTTGGCTACTTGTAGGACAGGCTGGGCTACAGGAGGTCTTGTCTCTAGAACAAACAAGTTTATATATAAAAGGGTTAGAACAACACTTGGTACACATTTTGAATATACTGTTTAGAACACAGTATTAGTGTCTTGACACAGAGAAACTTTTGTTTGTAGGGTTATTCTTAACTATATTGTTATTTCTTTTTTCTAATTCTTAAAGTTACTTTTTGGGAAAGAGCATGCCAAAGCATGTGTTTTAATCAAAGAACGGCAAGGTGATTTCTCTCCTTTCATCCTGTGGGTTCCAAGCATCAAACTCAGTTGTCAGACTTGGAGGCAGGCACCTTTAACCCACTGGGCCACCCACCAGCCAGCACCATTTTATGGGCCACTAACAAAAAAGAGAGAAAGTCTGGGGAATTGCATTGTGTAATCCTTTTGTAAGGAAGAGATGCTAAAGCTGGGGGGAGGGAAAGGCATCATAACTTTAGAAGGCACCATGTAAAAGCGTGGCTTGGTGACTCACTCCAGTCTTCCCAGCACTCAGGAGCCTGAGGCTGAAGGATTGGGTGTCTAGACTGACTGGGGCTACACAGACTCTTTCTACTAAAAAAAAAAAAAAAAAAAAAAAAAAAAAAAAAAAAAAAAAAAAAAAAGGTGTGGGGTAATTAGTAAAATAAGACATTAAGCCGAGATAATAGCCACAATTGCTTCAAATGTGGTGCTCAGGGAATCTTCTTTCTAAGAACTACTGGAGTAACTAGAGAGAGAGCTGTCACCGTGGTTAATGGCACTTGCTGTCCTTGCAGAGGACCTCAGCCTGCCGGCCTCACAAATGCCTGTAACTCCAACTCCAGGGCATATGAGGCCCTCTTCCAGCTTCCATGGGCACCAGGTACATGGTGCACAGGCATATATGCAGAAAAATAAAATAAAAATAAATAAATAAACCTTTAAAATATGAGAGATCGTTTTAAAGTTCTGAGATGTTATCATCCAGCTTAGAAGGGAATCCCCAAGAGTAAGGTCATCTCCAGAAAGCCCTCAAGACTGATCCTTCTCCTTGGCTCCCCACAGAACATGTCAAAGCCCTCAGAGGCAGCACGTCGTCGCTGCTCCGGCCTGACCCGGCGGGTACTCACGATTACGTTCGCACTGCTCATCCTGGGCCTCATGACCTGGGCCTACGCCGCGGGCATCCCTCTCGCCTCCGATCGCTATGGCCTCCTGGCCTTCGGCCTCTACGGGGCATTCCTCAGCGCGCACCTGGTGGCGCAGAGCCTCTTCGCTTACCTGGAGCATCGGAGGGTGGCGGAGGCGGCACGGCGCGCCTCGGCGAAGGGACCCCTAGACGCGGCCACTGCACGCAGCGTGGCGCTCACCATCTCCGCCTACCAGGAGGATCCCTCGTACCTGCGCCAGTGTCTGACCTCAGCACGCGCCCTGATGTACCCTCGAGCGCGGTTGCGCGTCCTTATGGTGGTGGACGGCAACCGCGCAGAGGATCTGTACATGGTGGACATGTTCCGCGAAGTCTTCGCTGATGAGGACCCCGCCACCTACGTGTGGGATGGCAACTATCATCAGCCCTGGGAGCCGGCGGAGGGGGCAGGAGCAGTGGGTACCGGTGCCTACCGCGAGGTGGAGGCTGAGGACCCAGGGCGGCTGGCAGTGGAGGCGCTGGTGAGGACACGCAGGTGCGTGTGTGTGGCGCAGCGCTGGGGCGGCAAGCGCGAGGTCATGTACACGGCTTTCAAGGCGCTTGGAGACTCCGTGGACTACGTGCAGGTGAGTGCAAGGCGCCCCGTGCCACCTCTGAGTGTGATCTCACACCCTCCACTTCAGAAAGAGTAGGGTGCACCTCAGGCCTTGGGAGATGGAGGCAGGAGGATCAGAAGTTCAAAGTCAGGCTTTTAAGTATTAAACAGGAGATGCTGTTTCAAACAGATTTGAAGAAACCTCTTCTTTTCCTCTTTTCTTTATTCATTTGGTGAAAAGATCTTTCTATAGTTATTCGTGGTTTTATCCATCCTCCAACAGATCATTAATTTCTTCAATGTATCATAAATCCTGTCTTCTCTTGTTTATATGTGCGTGTGTGGGCGTGGGATGTGTGTGCTCGCTGTGAATAACTGAGAAAGACATCCTATGCCCTGCTCTTTCATACTCCTCCTCCCTCATTCCTTTGAGACATGTCCTCTCACTGAAAGACTAGGCTGCCAGTCAGTAAGCTCCAGTGATCCTCTTATACACACACACACACACACACACACACACACACACACACACACACACACAGAGCACACACTATGTTACAGGCAGGCACATGCAGCCACACCTAGCTTTTTATATGGAGGCTGAGGATTCAAATCTGGGTCCACCTAGCTATCCCTCCTGCCTTAAATCCTTTCCTGTTTCCTCACCACACATTCAGACAGAAACTCTAATTCATCCATTCACTCATTCATTCATCAACCACAGATGAACTGATTTAATATGGATATTTAGTCAATCTTATCCATCCATTTGATACAATGATTCCTCCTTTTTTATTCCTTTGGTGTGTTTCTTTTGTTAAATGGTATGTGCATCTGCATACACACCCAATACAGTGCTCATTCACTCTATCCATTTGTATATTTGTTGCTGCCACAGAATACCAGACCAAAGGAACTTAAAGAAAGAAGGGTTTATTCTCGCTCACAGTTTGAGGGTGCAGTCCATCATGATAGGGAAGGAATGGATTCAGAAGCTTGAGAAAGCTGGTCACATTGCTCCTGCAGAGAAGAAAGAGAAAGAGAAAAGGAAGTGAGACCCACTAGCTGGCCCCCACCTCCTAAAGGTTATATAACCTTCCAAAACAGTGCCACCAGCTATGAGACCAAGTGTTCAAACACATGAACCTATGGGGAACATTTCACATCCAACCACAACCCTGAATGAAGAAAACCATTCCCCACTTTATTTCATGCAGCCACTTAAAACAGAAGGAAACTCTATTTGAGCATACATTCATTCATCCTTCCATGCAACCATTCATTCATTTGATACAGACATTCATTCGCTTAACCACTCACCCACTCATCTATCCGGGTATTCAACATAATGTTAATTACCTTTTTTCTTCATGCAATATGGAAATTCTTTCCTTCACCATTCTCTGTACCCATGGATCTACATCTAGTGTGGACCTCATCCACTTGTTTATTCATTCACTTACTTTTTATGTAGCAGTTTGCTCCCCCACCCCCCTTTTTCCTTTCTTTCCTTCATGTTGAGATTTTTGTCATCCATCCATCTATAGACCTTTATTTCATCATGCATTCATCCATTCAGTGTGGCCATTCACTAACATGCTACTGTCTTAGTTCCTTCTCCTGTAGCTGTGAGAAAATATTCTGACAAAAAAACATCATAAGGGAGAAAGGGGCTTACTTTAGCTCACAGTTCAAGGTAAAGTTCTTCATGAATGGGAATTCAATTCACAGGAGCTTGAAGCATCCTGAACTTGTGTTCAGCTCACTTTCTCCTTTCTATATAATCCAGGATCCCAGCCCAGGGAATGGTGTAAACAGTCTTCATGCCCTTCCAAACCCCAGCCCTGTATAAGTTTCTGGTCTGACCCTGGTCCCGTCCTTTTCACAGGTCTGTGACTCAGACACAAGGCTAGACCCCATGGCACTGCTGGAGCTTGTGCGAGTGCTGGATGAAGACCCCCGGGTAGGGGCTGTTGGAGGAGATGTAAGGATCCTTAACCCTCTGGATTCCTGGGTCAGCTTCTTGAGCAGCCTGCGATACTGGGTAGCCTTCAATGTGGAGCGAGCTTGTCAGAGCTACTTCCACTGTGTGTCCTGCATCAGTGGTCCTCTGGGTGAGTGAAAGTGGGGCTTGGGAGGCTTGTGGGTGAATGATGATCAGGAAAGGGAGCCAGAGACAGGGTAAAGGTATAGACAAAAATAGGGCTGGGGTCGGGATTACAGATAACGTAAGATTGGGGAGTGGGGAGATGGTGTTAGAGCTGCTGGAGAGGAATGAAACTGGGAAAGGGAAAAGGATGGAGACTGGGGAAGTTGCTGCAAAGGGACTTGCGGAAGTGAGTGAGATGAGGTTGCGGTGGAGATAGGGTTGAACCAGGGCACTGAGAGTGCTGTGGCGTTGTGGGGGGAGTGGTGACATTACAGTGCATGGTCAGGTGACAGACACACTGGAACGGGAAAGGGGGTTCAGTTAAGACTGGGGCTGTATTTGGGAGTGATGAGGGGCCAGGCTGAGACTAGGATAGAGATGGGGAAGCACAGGGTGGGAAACAAAGATGCGTTGAGCACAACATTGACCATATCAGAGGCTGATGCTTGGGTACTCTACCCCACCCCTACCCCCACCTAGGCCTGTACAGGAACAATCTCCTGCAACAGTTCCTGGAAGCCTGGTACAACCAGAAGTTCTTGGGCACCCACTGCACTTTCGGGGATGACAGGCACCTCACCAACCGCATGCTCAGCATGGGCTATGCTACCAAGTAAGTTGAGGGGACCACATGTTTGTGTCTGTGAAGAGTGTCCCTGAGCGAGAGAGACAAAGGGAGAGAGAGACAGAGAGAGGCAGAGGATAAATATCATAAGAGGCAGAGGAGCCATTTGTACTCAGCCAATGGCCTTCAAAGAGTTTGATATTAGGAGAGAATTGGAGGTACCAGAAAGGTTGTAAAGGGTTTCGTGAACACTTTTCCCCTCTACCAAACAAGACAAGGTGACGGTGAGCAATTTCACACAGAAGGAACAAGGTGGACAGGGTAAGTGGGCTGTACCATGGAAACCAAGCCGGCGTAGACCACTCAGAAGGGAAATGAGAAGGGTGAGATAAGTAGATGGGGTGGGTTAAAACCAGTGAGAGAAGCAACAAGAAAAGAGGCAACTGAGGAGAAGAGTACCTGATCTCCACATGGCAGACTCTGCAAGAAGTCTTTTAGTGACAGTACGAATTTGGTCACTAAGTCTCTGTTGGATGCTCTAGAGGCATAGCAATAGGCAAAAGGGCATATACTCCTCCTTACACTGAGGAGACAAAATATCTATTAAGTGTGGTGAACTAGGTAGCATATTGTGTGACTTTTCCTGGGGAAGACATGGTGTCCTAATTTAATATCCTTGCCCAAAAGTAATGCAAGGGAGGGATTGTTTATTTGGCTTACAATTCCAGATCACGGTCCATCACTGACAGAAAGTCAAGGCAGGAACTCAAGCAGCCAGTTGTATTGCATCCACCATCAAAAGCAGAGAGAAATGAATGGACCCTAGCAAGCTGCTGACCTCTGCTTAAGTGTTTAGCTAGCCTTCTCTACACTTAACACTATTCAGCACCTACCCTGTGAAGTAGGGCTTCCCAAACTCAGGGTGGATCTTCCCACCTCAATGCACAATCGAGACAGTTCCCCCAGACATGCCCACAGGTCAACTTGATCTAGACAGCTCCTCAGTGGAGGCTTTCTTCTCAGGTGATGCTAGGTTGTGGCAAGTTGACAGTTAAAACTAACTAGCAGAGATGTAAACAAACATCCATTCACCCCAGGGCACAAATGACAGATCAAAAACAAGTAAATTAAAAAATAAAATAAAATAAAATTCTACCTGTTATTTGACGTTGGTCATAGGGGCCAAAGTAGAGAGGGAAGCTCACCAAGATACTAAGCCATCATTTTCCGAAGGAGCAGAGGGGTTCGATCTTCTTGAAAAAGACTAACTCCCCAGCTAGCTCATTCCAGTTACTTTATTCAAACATATACAAGGTTGGGCTGGAGAGATGGCTTAGAGGTTAAGAGCATTGACTGCTCTTCCAGAGGTCCTGAGTTCAATTCCCAGCAACCTCATGGTGGCTCACAATCATCTGTAATGAATTCTGGTGCCCTCTTTTGGCCTGTAGACATACATGCTGTATATATAATAAATAAATAAATAAATAAATAAATAAATAAATAAATAAATAAATAAATAAATAAATAAATAAATCTTTAAAAAAACATATACAAGGTTAATAGGGGCTAGGAAAGGTTCCAACTATCAAAGTTAACTTGCTCTTGCTGCCCATGAGAGCAGAAAACCCATACAAATCTCAGTTCCTTTTGCCATAACCAAAAGGAAGAACTCCAGGTCAGCCTGAGAACTTAGGCTGTTTTAGGACTAAGGTTGGTGCAGCTACAAGCTCTCATGTAGCACCAAGTGCAGATTCTGCATAAAGACAGTATTTTTTCAAAGTTGAAACAGTCTCAAAACAATTTCACAGTATCTACTTATTAACCCAAAGGTAGCAAAGGCTTTGCTGAAACATTTCTCCCAAAGCCAGACACAAGGCTTTACTATATGTTTCACTTAAAGCCAGACACAAAGGCTTTACTTACATATAACTGCATCTACCCAAGTCTAACTTGATGCCAGTGAGTTTGTTGGGTGTATTTATGCATGAATGATTCTGAGTCAGCTTTGACTCCTCACAAAAGCCGCACTTTGCAGGCAGCTCTATTGAAGGGTCATTCACCACCACCACCACCCTACACAGTTTTCACCTCCTTGAGGAGGGCTCCCCTCAATCTTGTAACACGTTGTAACGTTTTAAGCTTCCTGGGTCTGGTAAATTCCTTGAACTTCCATTATGTTTTTAAGTCTTCCCTCCTCCCTCCAAGAGAAAATGTTTCAATTTGGAGGAAACAGCTAGAGTTGGAGCTATAATCTCATTTTAGCCAAGAGCACCAGGAGAGCCAGCAGGGGTCCCCTTGTGAAAGACTCACAGGACCTTCCCTGAAATGAATCATGAAGGGCTTTGAGCAGAGACTGGCACGGAACAGCATCCTCCATGCAGATGTTTTTGGTACAAACAGCAAAGGCAGAAGCAAGCAGAACACTGAGGGTGCCAAATGACACAAGACACTGTCATGTACTGCCCTTGGTGACAGACTAGTTTGACGTCGCCTAATGAACTAACTGCTAATGGCCACCTTTGACTTCCTTAACTGGGAGTCTAGCTACCCTGCATGGGTATAGCTAAGCCATGTAAGGACAGATTAATGGTTTCTGACTCAGCCATAGGAAGGGGTCCAACTGTTCTTTTGAGAACTCCTCACACAGAGACTAACCTGGGTAGTGGCCAGTCGTGTCTTACTCCTCATGGCAGGACCTGCCAATTTAGTCAGCATTTAGTCATGTCACTGATGGTGTTTGTGTCAATGACTAATATTAGTCATGTTTGTAGTAACAGTGTTAGTCACAGTAAAAACAGCAGTAGCTCACACGGACTGAGCAATTACTAGAAACTGCCTGGCGTACGATCTTCATGCAGTCGTAGCTGTTGCAAATATTAAATGATGATAAAGAACCATAGAAAGGATGCTGAGGAGGCTGGAGAGGTGGTCCATTGGTTAAGTGGACCTCTTCTAGAGGAGCCAAGCTGAATTCCAGCACCTTCATCTGGTGGCTCACAGTTGCCTGTAACTCCATCTCCAGGAGACCTGAGACACTTTTCAGGCTTCCTTGTGCATCCATACACTTAGGTATACTCATACACACACACACCCCATACATACCCCCCATACCCCCATACCACATGCACTCCCACACCACACCACCACACCACATATACACACACCACACATACCCCCACACCACACACACACACACACCACACTTACCCCCTACACCCCCACACCACACACACACCACATATACACACACCACACATACCCCCACACCACACACACACACACCACACTTACCCCCTACACCCCCACACCACACACACACCACATATACAC